TTTGGGATTTTTCCCCAGGGCTGAACGAGAAAATAAAGCCTTTTGCAAAACGTCACTGGAAGAAAAATACAGGCCACCACCAGAGTCCTGCCAAATAAATAAATAAGTGGAAAGTGATAAATTTTGGCTGTCTTATAAAGACAGACCAGCATTGCTTATCGGCCACGATGTGACCAGATAGCTGCCTCAGAAAACAGGCGCTGGGCCTTGGGTAATAAATGAAAGCAATAAAGGCAAAGTGCCTCCTCTGAGCTATAATTGAGCCCCGCGGCGCCAGCGGGAGCTGCTCCCCTCGCAGGGGCTGCAGCGTGGGCACCCCCGAGGAGCAGTGCAGGGATGGGGGTACCCAGTGCCTCTCCACGGAGGATGCTGCTGCCCAAAGGCCATTCCCAGCAGTGAAGGCTGCTCCTGCCACCACCCAGGATCACAACAGAGAGCAGGAGGGAGCCCGGGGCTGTGCATCTCCCGACAAACATCCCCGGAGCAGTTTTCCTTAAAGAGGTGTCTATTTAGCACCATTTCCGTCACAAGCGACTGCTTTGCATTTCTCCTGCCTTTATTAAAACTGATTTTCTATTTGCTCCACACAAGCCGATCTGATTACATTTCCATTTTCCCCCGAAGAGAGGGTCTCTCTCTCCTAAGGCAAAATGGAGATGGGGCTCGGCCCCCCCGCCTCCCGCTCAAGGGCTCTTCTGCCAGGGAGCAAGGATGAGGACCAGCCTCCAGAGCCGGAGCCAGAGGAGCTCTGCTCTGCAGCATCCTGCATCTGTTTCCATGGGGACACAGATTCAGCAGGCCTGATCCTGCCTGTGCCTGTAGAAATACCAGCCAGGAGCCATTCCAGCCAAGAAGCTGGATTTGCCTCACAGAGAGGCAGAAGCAGGTGAATCCAGGCAGGAGCCAGCAGAGATACCTGTCCTGGCACGCTCCCCTTTGGGCTGGCAGCTGGAGCACCTCCACACCCAGGGGCTCACCCACCCCAGGATGCAGCTGGACACCACCAGCCTTCCTGCATGGAGGCTTCTCCTCCCTCCCTCTTCCTGCTGCCCATATTGCATCCCCACGGGATGTCTCCTGAACTCGCCTCCCCCATGTCCCGAGGGGGGACTCGGGTCTGGCAGCAGAGGGAAAGATGCCGGTAAAGCAGGTGCTGATAAATAGGTCAGCAATTCATCCCCCAGCACGGTCCCGGCAGCACCGTAAGTGACGTTAAAAGCCACAGCCAAGCACAGGAGCCCTCCCACTGCTGGTGAGAGAACGGGCCAGCAGCGAGGTCTGGGACAGCCATTGCATCCTCATGACTTCCAGACCCACTTACAGTGACTCCAGGATTAAAAAAGCAACAAAGAGTTTTCATTTTGGGTAAAGATTTTTTAAATTTATTTAGTTAGGAAGCACCCGTTAATGTCCCTGCCTTCTACAAGGCTCCAAACTCTCTCTCCATCTTCCCCTCACGCTCCTCACCAACCTTGTGGAAAGCCATTACCAGGAAGCAGCTTTGAAGTCCCAACTTTATTAAGATTGATTCCGCCTGCCTCCAGTTTTGACAAGTCCAAAGCAAACATGCAGGGCCACGGGGAGATTTGGTAATAATTACCATCTTTAATTACTACTAAAACATCAATTGCTCTTGTTCAATTAGTATCAGAGATCCAGGCATGGCAAATTTTGTAGCACAAAATAAGCTGAAAATTGATTTCCGAGCACTTAACGCAGATCCCAAACTGCAAACCCGATAAGGGGGCGCTGGCAGAGCGCGGGCACCGGCGGGGAGGCACCGACGGAACGGCTCCGGGGGAAGATTAATAACTTGGGAACTTACATCCCGACGTGGAGTGGGAGTGGCTGGTGAGGGGAGCGCAGGGGAGGGGACAGTGCAGTGACAAGGACAGAAGCAATTAGAGATGAAACCACTGGCGATGCCACGGAAAGGGGGCACAGAAACTCCACTCTCACCGATGCAGTGCCACCCACCACGGTCATCACGGAATCATTTAGGCTGGAAAAGACCTCCAAGATCATCGAGTCCAACCTTTGACCAGTCACCCCCTTGTCACCCAGCCCAGAGCACTGAGTGCCACGTCCAGTTATCCCCTTCAGGGATGGGGACCCCACCACCTCCCTGGGCAGCCCCTTCCAAAGCCTGACAACCCTTTCTCTGAAGAAATGCCTCCTAATGTCCAACCTGAACTTGCTTCCAAGAAAAGCACAGCCAACCCTTGGAGGACCCAAAGCCAGAGCCCCCCATGCCACCAGACATGTCCCTGTCAGAGAGGGAAAGGGGTTCATCTGCTCTCCAGCTGCTTCCCACAGATACTCATTCCCCAAAGCCCAGCCAGGACACACCATGGGCCTTACTGTCATTAAAGATGAGCATTCACACCACAGCATTCCAAAGCTCCACTCCAACATTCCAGATTCACAACCAGCCAATGTTTTCCCTTCCATTCCCAGCCAGGAAGAGGAGGAGAAAGGCCCAGCTTCCTGGCCCCAGCACCCCAAGCTGGAGGGAGCAGCTAATTGCTGCCGAGATGGGCAGAGCCATTTGCATAATGAAGCGTGAAAGGGATGTTTAGCTCATGTATTTTTTAGAAGGTTTATCTTTCATTTTATTTAGCTTAAGAAGGGCACGTCACTCAAACCCCGCGGTCATTTATAAAGACATTTGCACTGTGCCTGCGCAGAGCTGTCTCCAGGCCTAAGTGGCTGCTCTGACCAGCCTCGAATACTAATGGGAACAGAACACCAGCAAGGGATGAGGCTGCTCCCTTTCTGGTATTCCTATGTGCAGCTTTGTCTGGAAAAATCTCCAGCTTCCCCCTTGTGAGCAGGCTTCTCTCTCCAGCCTCCCGAGCACCGTCCCCACGAGGGAAATGCCACCACTGAAGTACCAGGTGCCCGTGGAAGCCAAGGCTGCCCCAGATTTCATGCAATTTAGAGAAACTGTCTTTGCTGTAGTCAGTGAGCAAAGGAGTTCTCTGGACCCCCTCCAGCCTGTCCCAGATGTATCCAATGTCCCAGTGCACAGCTGGGACCCTGTAGTACCCCCAGGATTGCCCTGTCCCATCAGGCTGCTGAGCAGGACCCAGCTGGCACCAACTGGGACCTGGCACAGCACATCTCACCAGCTGGTTTTCCTGTAGCACCAAAGCCTTGCAGCACCCCATTGACTGACCAACACCCTCCCCAAAACTTCTTGAGACCCAGCATCTACCCACACCACAAAGACAGGGCTTTCTCTCACCAAATACTTGAGCCAAACAGGCAAACGACTGGAAAGTCATGCAGAGGGACCAGCTGCCCACTTGCTCGGCTTATTTCCTCCTCTCTTTCATCTGCTCTCCCTCCCACGCTGCTTCCCCTCCCACTTCTGCCCACTGCTTAAAAGGAGAAGCTCATCTCAAGCGCTGAAAGCCAGAAATTCGCTGTGTGCCTTTGTCCCTGCCACAGGTGGCTCCAGGGACCTCTTCCACATTGTCCTTGCTCCCACACAACACAGCCCCCATCGTTCCTCCCACGCTCCCTGGAAACCTCTCGAAGCGACCACCCGAGGGCTGTGATGACGTGTGGTAGCATCACGTCACTCCCCAGCATCCCGAGGTGGCCCCTGCACTGCCCACTGCCCCAGGGCACAGACACCGAGCCAGAGACCACCTAAACACATGGAGACAGAGCAGGTATTGCTCAGCTTGGAACTATTTCGTGGAGACCCTTTGCAGCATGGAAACAGAAAGCAACCGCCCAGGGAAGGGCCATATTCAGGGCTCCACCTCCCCCTTGCCAAAACACACACCATTTTCCTTTTACACAGAACTTCCACGTGCGGGCGCGCCACTTGCCTGGGGTTCCTGCGGCGAGAGCGGCTCCCTCCACCAGCAGCACACGCAGATTCCGCACGGCCCGGGTCCTGCAGCCCCGAGCTGGGTGTGGCCACCCCTATTTAAAGGCTCTGGATTAGCACAATTGTCGCCGGGACAGCCCCGGTTCTAACGGCAAAACTCAGCTCAGGTGGAGCTGATGAACCCGGCACGCACAGGTGCCCCTGAGCTGGAGAGAGGGCTCCAAATTAGCACACGCACAGCCACTCATTACTATTATTACTATGACATTATTAATTTCCCCACCTCTCATCTGCACCTTTTCAGTGGCTTCATTTCAATCTGCTTCAGCATCGGGGAGATGGAAATTAAACCCCAGCATTTATCCTGGAGTCACGCAGCCCTTTCCCTCCTCCTGCCCCTCCATCGCACCCTCTCCCCGTGTGCCACAGGATCCCAGCACTCCCAGTCCAGCTCGGAGCTGGCATCCACGGCCCCAGTTCACCCCATAAACAGGGATTGGGTAACTCCAGGGCAGCAGCCAAGCAGAGGATGCAGCAGCTGAGATCTATTTGTTGGGAGTCATTAGCTACTCTGGGCGATCAATCTATTACCATAAACTTAAGCTTCCAGATTCTTTCATTTTAAATGAATTTTCACATCGTATTTCCAAATGAGCTCTGCCTCCAGTCAGCTCCCCTTTATCTAATAAAGCTATGCAAATATTTTGTTATATTTCAATGAAATATGTCGAAAACTATTACCCAGTGCATTATCTCAGCATCAGCAGGGAGGCTCTGGTCTCTGCCACGGGCAGGCTGTCACTCATCGAGCCCTGAGGTGACAGAGGATGAGTGTCCCCTGCCCCACTGCCACCTCTGTGAAGGTCACCTGAGGCAGGTAGTGCTGCTGTGGGGCCAGGGGGCTCAGAGGGGGCAAAAGGGACATGATGCCACTGCACACGTGCTGCTCTGCTCTCCCAGGGCACGAGGTGGCAGCTCTCCTGGCACCCAACTATGCCCAAGCCAGCCAAAGGGCTGAGACACTTGGATACACACCTTGCTGCCTTTGATTTGCAGCAGGTACTATTCTTCAGTCCTCCCCTCCCTCCTCTAGACTTGTTATTGCCAAAGGACACAGTGTGCCAACCCACCCCAGCCCCCTCTCCGATCTCAGAACTCGCCTTTATAGATTTATTTTTTTAAAAAGCACTTTTATATTTTTAATTGGTATTCTGCAAACTCGGAGCCTTCCCCAAGGAGCTGGGATGTTTGTCTTCAAAAAAGCCTTTCTTTTCCCGACAAATTTTTTAAAGTACAGATTTTGCTGGCACGGATGAATGAGCTGCCACGTGCCCCCCGCGACCTGCCCGCAGACGAGGCGGCTTCTCCCTCTCCCAGGCTCCGGCATGAGAGGGAGGAGAGGCAGTGCAGCAATGCAGCAACTTCCCGGCACCAGACCCCCAGCCTGTGCCCTCCCCAGCCCCCCAGGCAGCTCCTGCCAGGTCCGGGGGTCTGGATCCCAGCCCGGGAGCAGACGCTGCTCCCCCGGCTCCCGCTCTCCTGCGCTGGCACCAAATTAAATAACTGCAACTCCCTTTTTATTCTCCATTTGACAGTAACGTATTGCAAATGCAGCTGGTTTTGACATCCTAATATTCAGGCTTGTACCCCTTGGGATAAACACGTCATCTGTTATCTGAGCAAATGATTTGTACCGGGACAGCAGGGAGCAGGGAAGCAGAGCAGACAGGCGGAGCGGGGACGGGGCACAGAGTGGTGCCCAGCCTGGCCATGGGCCTGCCCGGGCTGCCACAGCACTCTGGTGGCCCTGGGAGGGCTGGGGACACGTGTCCTCCACTGCCAGTGAAGGATGTCCCCATGACCCAAGTGTGGGGTTAACTGGCTTTTATCACACCCACATGGGCCACATCCTTCCCAGGGAAACGCTGACAGCCAGTGCACAGGGCACAGCTGAGTGATTAGCAGGGTGATGGCACTGCTGCCACCAGCAGGGTGAGGGCACAGCTCCAGCTCCTGTCCCTCCTCGAGTGCTGCCTGGCTGCCTGTGATCCAGTGGGAAGGCAGCCAGGACGTCCATGGTGCCCCACAATGATGAGCCCACACCATGTGCCCGAGCATCGCCTGCCCGGCTGTCCAAGGGCTGGTGTTTCCCTGAGGTCACTCCCTCGGGATGTGGCAGCGTGGCCAGCTCATCCACACGGCCACCATGTGTCTGTCACCAGGCTGGTTTTACTGGGCAGGATCTCAAATGTTCATTTCCTTTGAGCGATGAGCAAACTAGAAGAGTCTCAGATCTGTTTTTAAGACACTTGTACTGAATGAAAGGCAGAGAGGGACTGAATTCCTCATGAAATGTTGTGATCTCTGTGAGAAAACAATGGGCACAGGAGCTGTGAAAGCAAGGAGGTCCATATCTGTTGTGTGTGATGGAGCCTGGGCTGGGAGCCTGGAGCAGAGGGTGGCTCATGGTTGGTCCCCCCTGCACCCTCCCCAGGCCACAGCCAGGGATGGGCAGCGGGGTGTCCTTGTTTGAACTGTGCAGAGTCACTGCAGCAGGTGCACGGAGCCACTGGGAGCACTGGGAATTCCAGCTGTGCCTTTTCCTGTGCGGGTTTCTTTTCAGACCGTCACAGCTCTATCCACTCCCCGTGGCTTCCCAGGAACAGGCTTGCAGGGCTTAGGCGATATCAAAACCCCATTGATTGTTTTGCTCTGTGTTTAAGGAATAAAAGTGGTGGAGCTTTCCCAGAAATCCTTTGAGCAGCAAGACACAACGGCGGCTCGGAGCTGAGTGCAGAGCAAACGTAGGGGTTTATTTCTCTTCTCTTTATTTCTCTGGACTTGCTCTGCAGAGGAAAATGATTGTGGATGTTATTTAATCAGAGGCAGGAGCTGATTCCTGACTATCTGACTTCCTGCTGTACCTGATAGCTGCCCTCCCACTGGCTCTAATCCAGGTATCCATGTGGTGCCCCCAGTGCCCTGCTCCAACTCCATCACCTGCAGAACCACCTGCATCCCCTGGCCATGATCCTGTGTCAGTGCCATGCTGAGCACTGCAGGACCTGCTCCCACCTGGGACTCCCTGTCCACCAGGATGAGGTGCCCCTGGAGCTTCCTGGGAGCTGCCAGGCATCCTCAGCCCGGGCTCCATGGAGGGAACACCAGGGCTGAAGCAATTTCACACCAAACTCCCCATCCTCTCACCCCGTGCTGCCACCTTTCCAATTTCCCTTCCTGCCAGGCACCAGGCTCCGAGGGGGGAACTTGGCACGAGGTCTGGAGGTTTATGTTAAAATCTGCAGGAAGATGCTTGGTGCCTGTGAATATTCCGTAGGAGGAGATGGATTAGTGACTGAGACGTATCTGAAGGGATTTGTGAGGAATTATTTATGGTGGTAACAAGTAAGCACTCATTTAGCTTATATTATACATTATCCAAACAAGGCGTTGAGCTCTGGAAGTTAAGGCAGTAATGCCACTCCAAATTAAATTCATCAGTGCCTTAATTAAGATCTATATTTAGTTGTTAATTAAGGGGAGCGAGCAGAGGGTTAGATGGTGCGTGAGGAGCGATGCTGTGCCGTGAGGAGCGTGCGGTGGGCACTGGGCAGGTCGGGGCCAGTGCCAGGATAAAGTTTGGGAGGGAAAAGTGAACTTGGAACACCGGGAAGAGACGAGTGGCGGCGGACACGGACACGGCTTCCCTCTCCTGCCTCCCCTGCACCCGCCTAATCAGCGGCTACAGCCGGCTTTGATCCCAGAAATCAAACCCCTGTCTGATGGGTGACTGGATGTTATGCTAATCCGGGTTGATTGAGCTGAGATAATTACACTTCATCCAGGTTTCCTGGGAGTTTTGAATAAATATTGATGCACAGCTGTCCCCCTGCTCAGGTACCTGAAGTGGAGAGCTCTTTTCTGGCTCCGAGCTTGCCTTGTGCCAGTGGACGGGCTGGGAATGGCACCAGTGGTGGGGCCGGGGACACCAGTACCCACTGGTGGCCCTCCTGGTGCAGGAATCACATCCAAGCTCTCTTTCAAGGTGCTGTGGGCTGATCATGTCTTCTCCCTACCCAAAGCAGCAGCACACCTGGCCACGGGGCCTGTCCTGTCCTCCTTGAACCTTCACCAGGGTGTTTTCCAGGGCCACGCCTGCCCAGGATGCTGCAGGAGAGGCAGCAGCACCGGCATCCTCGGTCTGCATCCCTGGGATGGGCAAGGAGCAGCTGGAGCCTGCGGCCAGGAGCCATCTGAGCTGACCCTGGAGCAGGAGACACAAGAAAACAAGCAAATCAAATTATACATTCCTGGGAAGCATTTATAAGTTGTGTGCATTCTTTAATCTTAATTAGAAATCTTAGCAGCCCCTGCCGACTCTGTAATCAACGCTGGAGCGCGGCTGACCCCCATCGTGCTCACCTTGAGAGTCTGGAGCAGGTATTTGAGGAGGGAGCTGGGGAACGAGCCGGCTCCATGTGCTCGGTGTGGTGGGGAAGCCTCGGGGTACGGAGCCGGGATCGGAGCGGCGGGGAATGATGAGTGTTACGGCTGAGCTCTAATTAAACATCCCACACTGACAATTCCAGGAGCCCCAAATAATCTCCTTGTTTGTCTCAATAACATCCCTATTTGCAATAAATGTGATTTCCTTGCGTTCCATGAGAGCAGGCAGGCGGGAGCTGCTGCCGGCGTGGGGGGGAGCGCCGGGCACTGACATGGGAGAAAACAGATGCTGGTGTGGCTGGAGAGCCTGGGCTTGTTGGGAAACTGCTGACTGGATAGGTGTTGCCAGGAAAACACCCTGTCCTGTCCACATGCCCCCTGCACACACCGTCCACCTCCAAGTTATTAATGGGCAGCGCTCGCCAGCTCTTCGTTAGCGGGAGGATAAAGAGCCACGGTCCAGCTTCAGCTGAGCAAACTTGGAGAGGGATGGGCAAACAGGGAGCTGCTGGCCAGGCTTGTGGGGCTCATGGCCATGGCAGAGCTGTGCCAAGTCCCATATCCCAATGGGACCTGGGCTGTGCAGGACACTGGGCTGGGGGCTTGGCAGAATCCCCCCGCAGTGCTGCAGACCCTCTCTCAGTGCTGCAAGGGGCTTTGCTTCTTTCACTTCCATTCTTCCACGAGGAAGATGCAAAGGATGTTTGGGGGGGGCAGGAGGGGCTGGCAGAGCCCCCGGACAGTCGGTGCCTGCAGCAGCAGAGGAGAAAGAAAAGCAGTTCTGCCTCTCCCATCAGCCGGGGGGCTCGTTTGTCCCATCATTCCAGTATTTTGGATGTCTTCCAGGGAGTTTTGCTCTGCCAGCCCCCTCCCACTGCGAGCTGCATGCTTCCCAGCCCAGCCCCTGTGCGTATATATCTACGTATATATACACTTAGTGTGTGTATGCAGCAGGCACATTCACAGCAAACAAACAAACAGGGCTGCTCTGTATTTGTACACAGAGGGAGTGATTCCCGTCTGCCTGCTCTTCCCAGCTGGGGCAGGAGCATGAGCAGGGGTGGGAGCAGAGCTGGGGCAGTTCTGCTCTGCTGACCACCACCACTGGGTCTGATTTTGTAGAATCACAGAATGGTTTGGGTTGGAAGAGACTTTAAAGCTCATCTTGTTCCACCCCCTGCCATGGGCAGGAACAGCTTCCACTAGACCAGGTTGCTCCGAGACCCGTCCAACCTGGCCTTGAACATTCCCAAGGATGGGGCAGCCACAGCTTCCCTGGGCAGCCTGTTCCAGAGCCTCACCACCCTCAAAGCAAAGAATTTTTTCCTATTTTTTCACTGGGAGACCCCACTGGGATGTGCTGCTCCGACCCACTCCGCTCTGAGGTTCAGGACAATCCTGTGCCGTGGAGGCTCTGCTGGGCCCTGGCTGCTGCCCCCAAATCCCACCATTTCTTTCAAGCCTGGGGGTAAATAAAGCAGTGGTAATAAATGAGAGGCACCATCCTGGCACTCCTCGTGTAATTGCAGTTATTTAATAACCTCCTTTTGACCTAAGCAAGGCAGCCAAAAATCCTTCCCTCTGAGGGGACCACGCCAGGTACTGCATCCTGCATTGCCACTCACAACAGCTCATAAGCAATAAAGCCCGAGTTTTAGCAATAATTAAAGCTCCCAATGGCTCCTGAGTCCATGGCACTGATGCAGCCACCCTGCACGGGGAAGGGGAGCAGTGGCACCTGAGCTGTCCCTCCTGGGTTGCAGCACACACAGTGCCAGCTTGCCCGTGGATGCCAGAACACCACCCCCGTGACACCCTACCCTGCCAGACCCCGGCTCCCCACCTGGTTTATTTTATTAAGCACCCTCAGAACAAGCAGAACTGGCAGAACTGTGATCTGCTCCATCAATTGGATCTGGTAGAAACTCACAGACTAATTAAGTCGTGTCCCTCCCTGCCCGCCCCAGCCGGAGCGCTGCGGGGAGGGCGAGTGGGACCCGGCACGGTGCCATCCTCCCTGGTCTCTTCAGTGCCCTGCAGCGTGGGGTGCCACCAGGAACCCCCCCAGCCCCTTCAAATGGAGCAGGGAAAGTAGGATGATTTGTTGACATCTCTGCTTCTGGTCATAACAAAAATAAATAAATAAGGGGGGAGAAAAATCCCTGCGAACATGAGTAATGGCCCAGGAATGAGCAACCCAAGATAAAACTGAATAATAACATGTCAAAAACTACACGATGTGGGTTTTTATTCCCCAGCGGAGTTTCCTTCCTGCTAATCCATCACTGTAGAAGATGCAAGATTACTGCTTTCAGAAAAAACTCCGGGAGATAAATGTGAGTAAATTAGGGTTTATTATATTATTTAGGACGATATAATTTCCAAAGTTACTTTATTAAATTATTTATGCCCTTGGCGGTGGCTCAGCTGGGCAGTGGCCCTCCTTGGCAGCATCCCCCTGTGCCGGGTGGCCGTGGCAGTGGGTGAGGCAGGGACGGCAGCAGTGACAACCATCGTGTCCCGTCAGCAGGGATGGCACCCTGCGTGGATCCAGGGAGTTGCACCATCCTGCCTGGATCCTGCTCCACGGCCCCCTGAGGGGTGGCACCTCCCAGGATATCGGCGAGGGGCAGCAGCCCCCGGGAGCTCCCTGCTGCTACTGAACGAACGCACCGTGGACGTGCCCGTCCCGCTCCCCTCCCCGCTGGCACTTAGACAAGGAGCTGGGCACTTCTGTGGAAATTGCAGCAAAATTACAGCCCCATCCGTAATGAAAGGCTTGTCCTCCGGAGGGGAGGCTGGCAGGAGCCAGCCGTCCTGCTGCAAGACAAATGTACCCTGTATTTAAATCCGGCGGAGGAGACGCTCACCGGTGAGCGGCCTCTCCATCAGCACATGGCAAAGCCCGGCGGAGAGGTCAGGCCTGGCACGGAGGGAATGGAGCCACGGGGCCAGGACAGGTGAGGCAGGGGGGGAAAGGTGAGCCTTGTCACGGCCGGGAACGGAGGCTGCTGGCAGGAATTTAACGTGCCAGTCCTCCAAGCCGGGAGCTCTGTTTCCCCGAGCAAGCAGGGTCACCGAGCATCCCAGATGGGAATGCCATGCCCCAGCCCTGCCACCTCCATGGATACACCCACTCCCAACCCTCGCTACAGCCCCTGCTGGCATCATCACCAGAGCCATGGTCCCCACCACCAGAGCGGTCACGTCACGCCTGTCATCCGCTCCTCAGCGCCGGGAGCTGCCGTGGCATCCCTGCTCGTTAGCTCCCGGCCCCGCCGGCCGGCTAACGAGGCCGGAGCTGACAGAGGAGGATTACCCGCTCCCAGGAAGCCGGCGTGATTGTGTTTACTCCAGAACCTGGGCCGATTTAGTTGTCGGTGCGCATCATTAATCTTCTTCTACAATCCCTTCCCCATCTGCTCCCACTTTTTAATGAACTGCCACTTGCCACATTCAATAAAATCAACACTTTCCCAGGATCGCAGCGAGAGGGGAAGCGAGAAGCAAGGCAGGGAGGGAGGGACGGAGATAAAGAGATGCACTTTGCTTTGGGAAGGTGTTTTCTCATCTACATGGGCAAACAGAGCGCAGCAGCCCTCCCTGAGACACTTTTGGCTGCCTTGCCCCGAGCCAGTCACAAATAACCACATCAGACTGCGCCGAACGCGAGCCGTACAACGCCAAGTGTCAGCCCAAGTTTGATCCCAGCTCTGCTGTTCTACACAATTATTTTCAGCGCATCAATACTGCAGGCGGCACCGAGATTGTAGTTTTCCAGCTTGCTGGCAGCTCTGGGGATTCATCCGATATCAGGCTATTACCTTCTGATTACTTTCCTTGGCAGCCAACCCGTTTGGAGCTGGCAAATAAACAATAGGGAAGAGTGTGATGGGGAGCTTAGCTTTCAAATTACACTTTTCAATCATTTGTCACACCAAAGGTATAATGAGTGTTTCATACAAAACTCAAAAGGCTGCGAGGCTGGGGGGGGGCTTCACTTAATGTGGAGGGTGCTGGGTTTGGGTGGAGCTCAGAAACTCCATCTCCATTTCTCAGAGTTTTTGTTTGTGGATGTGGCCAGCACAGCTGGGCAGGACCTGCCGGAAAGCCCTGTGCTGGGGAAAAGAGCCAGAACCCCCAGGGAAGGGGAAGGACAGGGCAGGTGCCATCCCAACACACCTCCAGTGACCTCCCTGTCCCTGGCAGTGAGAAGGACTGGAACACCTACACTAATCCTTAAGCATTTGTTCCTTAAAATTACTCGGGATCAGAGAACCTCATGTTAATGTGGATCTAATGTGGAAATCCATATGAGCCATTGGGTATTAATTAAATGCCATCACTCTATTGATATTCTTGGTGTTTATTGCTCCTGCAATTAGCACCGAGCCTGCACTGCTGTGGCACTGCCCCCTGTGCTGCTGTGGCACTGCCCCCTGCACGGAGCATCCCCCGGGCACCCAGCAAAGGGCAGCAGTGAGAGCAGCCCCAGCCCGGCCCCTTCCCGACAGCCACCTCCCGCCCTGCACAAAGTTTCCTGCAGCAGGCTCAGAGGAGAAGCTGCTCTGGGAGTCAGGATGCTGCTGCCTTGCTCCCTGCATCCTCCCCCGAGCTGTTCCAGCCCCGTCTCCCTCCTCAGCTTGCAGTCCCACTGCCCACATGTCAGACGAGAGCAAGGAATAGAAATCGCTCCTTAAAGTTCACAACCCGTCACTCCGGCTTTCAGAAATACAAGCAAAAATGGCAAAGCAGTAGGGGGAAAATCCATTTCTTTCGAGATGATCTTTCCCTGGAACATGTCCTGTTGATCTGCAG